AATTTTGGGTCTCGGCTCCGTGATGGATCTTTTCGAGCGGGCGGCTGAAATCAACCACTGGGATGGACAAGAAGACGAACATGACGAGGAGATCAGAAGGCAAACCGTTCAGGAATGGAACAACATGTTTCAATTTGTTCATGAGCCGTTCAACAACATCTTCCAGGCTCTCGATGATGGACTTGCACACGTTATGTTCAAGTTGCAGCTGGCCAAGCCGCCGAAAAAGAAGAAGGGCCAGAACCAGGACGACGCTGAGGCGAAGGGTGACGCTATCAAACCAGGAGAACCGGGCTTCGCAGAATACATGCAGAAGCAAGCCGACGCCTTCTTCAGCAGGAAGGAACCTACTTTGCGCCATTGGGTCGAAACCAAGGGTATCAAGCTTCGCGATGATTACTTCTCGTCTCCATCAGCACTTGACGAGGAAACCCTGAAGCTCATGCCGAGCATCACCACACGAAATCGGGACCAACGACAGCTCTTCATGGTGCTCTACGTCATGTTCCTGCTCAACTCCATAAGCCGGTCCGTGATCGAATTCGTCAAATTCGCAGACGAGCGCGATCAAGCGACTTTGAAAAGCAAGTTCATCTGGCCTGGTGGACGGCGTTTCAAGAAATGGGCGAAGAGTATCTTCGCGAGCCAGGACTCCACCTCCGACGACGAGACAACAGTTGCAGGTTTCGACAGGAGCAACACGACAGTTTATATGGGTGAAGCGTACCAGGAGAAGAAAGACCCCGAGCATCTACCGCCTACAAACGCGTGGCAGAAGTTTGGCAATGGTGTACGTGGCATCTCACGTTTCCTGCGGAGTGACGAGTCGGCTTTTGGTTTCCGTGCTGCGTGTGCGACGATGAGTATAGCCGTTGTCGCTTTCCTTCGTCCAACGCAACAATTTTTCGTCGAGCAGCGCTTGGTCTGGGCGTTGATCATGGTGGCCATCTCTATGACTCCGACAGCTGGTCAATCAATTTTCCAGTTCATACTCAGGATCGCAGGTACCGCCGTCGCAATGATAGTAGCCTGGCTCATTTGGTACATTCCTGGGCAACAAACTGCGGGCATCCTGGTTTTCCTTTGGTTCTTCGTCGCAATCGGCTTCTACATCCCATTAAAACGCATGGATCTCGTCATCGTTGGAATGATCAGTGTGGTCACTGCTACTATGATCGTCGGTTATGAACTACAAGTTCGCAAGATCGGAGAACAAGCCGCGACAGCGACAACAGGTCAGCCTGCATACCCGATCTACACACTTGGCCCCTACCGTCTTGCCACCGTAGTGGGTGGTCTAGCTGTCGCCTTCTTCTGGACTATCTTTCCTTACCCCATCACCGAGCACTCTGCGCTCCGACAAAAACTTGGTGGCGCGCTATACCTTTCCGCAAATATGTATAGCATCATGCACGAACAGGTCATGGGCCGCATCCGCGGTGAGCTAGGCGGCGACGAAGAGACTGACAAAGAGAGTCCAGGCTATCAGCTCGTCAAGGCTCGGAATAAGGTCTTCGCCAAACAGATGCTCACCCTGCAAGGACTGAAGATGCATGCCGGATTCGTCAAGTGGGAGTTCCCACTTGGAGGCAAGTTTCCCAAAGAAGAGTATGAGAAAATCATTGGTTACGTCGAGAAGTACGTATTACCCCCAACAATGCAGCACTGTAATGGCTTGAGCATGACTAACAACACACATCAGCATCGTGAACTACACGGCCCTCCTAGGCTACGCCTCCCAAGCCTTCACCCACCCCTCCCTTAACCACCAATCCGCCGACCCCACATCCCCCGAAACAGAAGAAGCCGCCTTCCCCGACCACCACTCCGCGCAATGGTTCAACGACTTCCGCCGCGTCATCCTCTCCGCAAAAGTAACTTCACATGAGATTACCTCATTACTCGCAATGCTCTCTTCCAGCGTCACAAATGCACAGCCCTTGCCTCCTTATCTACACGCCCCACCAGGTGGGCAGCTCAGCCGGAAACTAGAAATGGTAGACCCTGAGATCTTGAGCTTGAGACACATCGCCGAGCCAGGATACGCCGCGTTCGCAGTCATGAGCATAAGTACGAGGTGCATACATATGGATATTGAACGGTTGTTGAAGGCTGTTAAGGGACTGGTGGGCGAGTTGGACTTCTCATTCCATGTCGTTAGTACGAAAGATGCTGCGAGTTCGGATGAGACGCTTGTTAAGAGGAGTTCCAGGAAGCAGGATTAGACATGTTATAGATTGTAGAGCTTTTGTAATGTTTGGTAATGGGAAAGAGATTCACACGATTGTATATAAGGTTGGGCAACGTTGGTTATGACAAAAGTGTAGTAGTAAGAGGGGGTATCCCCATCCAATACGAAGAATCTAGCTAAAGAGTGACGAGAAGAGTTCATCGCCAACCGTGTTACACCACATCACCTCTCTCTCGTCAACGGGCATCGGAGTGTTGGACCCGGCGCCGCTGACTCAAGAAATCCGAATATCGACCAGAGAGCACTAAACCATTCTCGCAAAAACGCATGCCATATCATCCTCAAGTTTGAGCAAGAATTTACTGGCAGGTACCAACAGCCCTCGCGGAGAAGATGGGCTTGTTAGGACCGAAAGTACCGCAACGACCAGTGACGTCGTAGACGATGCTGTTGACGCTCGAGCAAGTGTTGTCAGAGTAGGCAACGACTAACACAATCAGATTAGCTCTCATCATCCCGAAACCAATTGCTTCATTTCAGGTAACTCACGAGTGCAACCAGCAGGCAGCGCCGGCAAGTCGGTAGGGAGGATCAACGCGGAGTCTGTGTTTCCGCTGAAGATGGGCGAGGTAGGGAAGCAGCTGCCATCGGCGGGGATGTAAGCGGTCGTGACGGCGATGCCGGTGTTGCAGCCTGGGCCGGAGTAGAACTTGAGGGGAATGGTGTCGAGGCGCTTGCTCATCTCCGTTGGGGCGGCGTTGATGCTGACGGCAGCGATGAGGAGGGCGATGGTGGTTGTGAACTGCATTTTGAAGGGTGTGTGGGATTGGTTTGGTTGAGTGAAGTGTAGTTGAAGGTGTTAATGATACTGTTGTGATGGAGACTATTTGATGGGTAGACGCTGTATTATTTATACTTTGTCGTGAGGCTCATTTCCTGGGCAAGGTATGCCTAGCTGTTCACAAAGTTTCGTTAGCCTACCTCTGCTGACACGAAGGATGCCTCTTCGCACGGACGTCTCAACGAAGTTTGCATGGCCTATGGATCTCTTGAAGATGTTGGTGTGAATAGATACGAGGGCTGACGTCTGGCGATGTCGGCCTACGGCGCAGGTATCATGGTGCATCAAGCTCCCACATCCGACCCTGCGAGAGATCATTGGTCGTCCACTGGATAGGATTTTGGGAGGTATGGCTCCAGGCCAAAAGAGGCGTTATTTTCAACACCTATGCGACTAGGCTGATGCTTTCGCGATGCTGTTGAGAGCTTGGGATGCACACTTTCGCCTCACCGCCAGTAGTCAATCGTGTTGGTGGTGAGCCAAACTTGTTCCTCCTTCTCTTCTAGAAGGCTGATTCACCCTCGTGGGTAGGCCATATCGTTCTTAGCGCATCTTACTGTGCAATAGTTGTGTGACCTATAGGTACATGCTACTGCTCAGCTCACTCAGAAAGCGCAACACCAATTGCGAACACGTAACAGCATCCGGATTAAGGCCGCGATGAGTCGAACGGATCGTCGGGTCGACTGGTACCTGTTGGAGGTAATACAACAGTATGCAGATGGGAGCTGCCAAGGTTGAGGAGGATGAAAGGGCATGCATCGTCTGCATGATCCTGCTGCACCGCATAGTCGGATATGTGGACCTTGTATTCCTTGATGCCATTACAGTCTTCGCAGCGAGGTACTTTGTGAGCAACGCCTGAGTACGCTGATGAGGTGACAGACGCTGATGTTGTGGAATTTGATGTTCTCATTGCTAAGAAAAGGCCGTGAGCTCTCGATCCGATGTGTTGCTCGATCGTCCGTAAGCATAACCCGACCGGTCACTGGATGTGGCGCATCCCGAGTGAAGCTGACATGTAAGTGATGTGACCAACCTGCATTTCCAAGCAGAAGTTCTGACGTTCGTTTGTCTGACACCAGCGATCGAGTCGATGATATGTTTCTTTTCTCGTGTGAACCTGGTCTGCTACCCTAGTAAGCGATCCTGCGAGGCTGGACGTCCCGTGCCGCTGACAAGGTCTAGGCTTTCCGAAGGGGCCGCATGGTAGCGGAAGCGCTAGGTTCCTTGGTGAGCCGTACGGAAGCGGTGTTGGTGAGATGGGCTAAGCGCGAACGATGGCCTGCAGGAGGTGGTGCAGGCGTAGATGAACTGTAGTAGGGAGGCCATGATGCGGATCGAGACCGATCATCAAGATACTATCTCATCTGCATCTCTTCTGTACATCAACATGGTCGTCCAGGCAGTATTCGTCTGTATCCAAGCACCAGTCGTAAAATAGTCCATTGTATTATCTTACCACTCAGATCAGCTACCGCCACCCAGAGACTATAGGCTAAATGCGATGCGATGCAGGACCGGCCCACGGACTTCCTCGCTTCGAAACTGCAGCTCGGAGATGCTAACGCGAACCGATGACTTCGTACCACGGACTTTTGTTGGTCGGGAGGTGAGCATCATGCCCGGTGACGCCAGAAGAACAGATGGTGGCTTCAAACCATCTTTCCATTGGCAGTTTCCATCCACATTGCTCCAGGGTCGAGCGAGGTGGAAAGCAACAGCAGAAGGCTTGCGAGTCGCCAACACCCTACTGTCTGGTTGCTTTGAAAACAAGGTTGACTTTGCGCGATGAGGTGGGAGATGAAGGTCCAAGTGGCTGATGTGGAAACGAGGCAATCTCGCTGCTTAGTCATGTTTCAGCGGGGCTGGGCCTGCCTCCAAGGTTCGCTTTCGACTACGCACCCGACTCCCAACACCAGCCCACAACATCCGCATAACGAGATACTTGACACCTTTCTAGCACTGCTATTTACCCCCAATCTGCATAAACACCATAAGCACCGCCGCGTACGCCGCAGTCGCTGCCACCACCTCGAAAGGCCTATTGATGGTCGCGCCTGTCCCTAGTAAAGTGAAGAGGATCACGAACCCCGTAATAATCCCCAGCCGATCGTTGTTGTTAGGAACATTCTGCATCCACCATAAAGGCGCAAGTAGCATAGAAAGTCCTAAGGCTATTATGCTGAGTGTGGTGAAGCTCTCGAAGGCATGGTCGCTAGAGTAGGATGTAGCGTCCGATTGGACATGCAGGTCCTCTACAAACTTCGCCTTGAAGATTCGCCATGTGTGTAGGGAACGACACGCCTCTAGCCAGCGGCCTAGTGGTGGACGAACTCTTTCATTGATCGATATCAAATCGCTCTTGTGTTTGACGAAACGTGTTTCTGACGCGGTGATGGCACCACGCTTCAGCCAGTTTTCGGCATAGTCCACTTGACGGGATTCTGCTCGTGGGCGTTTACGTATCTTGGAGAATGCGTCGATAAATTGATCTGTCGCGGTTAGTATTGTCGCGTTGTAGAACCCTTCGGTACTTACTGTAATGTAGGAGTAGACACGAGAGTTCGTTCATGATTTGGAAGCGGTCCTGTTGATATTTCTCATCCCATTTGAAGCTGGAGTTTTTCCCCTTTTCGTCCTGCTCATTCGCCTCATGAATCTCTTCCAATGTTCGTTCGAGCTCCGAGATCCGGTACTGCAAGTACGCTATTGTTGTCGCATTTAGACTCTCAAAGCGCCGAAACACAAAAAAGTCGTCGTCTGAAGCCATCCACTTTCCAAACTCTTTGTAGCCCTCATACTTCCAGGCTTTCACGAACTTTTCCTTATCGGTTACCGATGCGTTACTAAGGGTACTTGCCGCTGGAGCGAGGTTCTGCATAGGAACCTGAGTAAACGTAGTGGGTATGTGTGCACCAGGACCTGGCAGTATAGGATCGCGAGTGCGAAATATATTTGCCATGATGCCCGTCTGTCGCTGTTATCGACTGCCCGGGCCAACACATTACTTATTTGTTTGATGACGGTGACACAAGGCCGGGCTGAGCTGCACACCCCGCCCGTCCAGGCAGTGCCATGTTACATACTACACTTCTCATTGGCCGCCACCTAAGTCAAAATATGCACAGCCGCAAACGGAAAGCTGAAGAGGAGACCGCATGAAATACGCAGCGCGTGCATACACTGTTCATGTCACTCGTCTTACGCTTGACCGGAACGCGACGCCACTGGTTCGCGCGTGCCGTCTCTGCGCCACATGTCTCCAGCACCGGGAAAGCTCACTCTCCAGAGCCTCACTGGAAGCGACCTCTTAATTTAATATGCATCTGACTTGCTGCCTCGCGGGGCAGATAAGAGTCCTCCTCCAGCATCGCTCAGCCCTGCTTGAAACACTTCGTCACGATTTACCTGACCGGAAATTATCACGATCGCATCGACTCAGACTTTATTGATCGCCCTGATAAGCTCAGCTGGTCTCAATCACATAGCCCGTTCACACGGCCCGCTCCGTGGGCCAATAACAAGTCATGAACCCGTGGAAGTCTAGCAAGGCCAAACTCGAAGCTGTCCAGGCATTTCGGCATGCCGACCAGAGGCATGATAGTAGATACGCCCCACAAGCGGAACCAGAAGATCCACCCGACCGAGCTTTTGCTCCTGTTCGACCTGGTGAAGGGCAGAACTCGTCTTATTACGGTGGCTGGCAACCTCAACCGCCGATGTCAGCACAGGGCTATTACGCAAACCCTACGCCAGCCCTTCCATATCCAGGCTACCATCAATCACCACAGGCCCCAACACAGAGCCTTGGTACACAACAGCAGTATGGGTCACCGCAGCAGGGTTATGAAAGCCAACAGCAAGGCTATAGCAATCCTCAGCAGCCATCCTCACCCCCACAAGGTCAGGCCTCCTTCGCGCCCTTGAATGCAGACGGGAGTTCGTACCAGAGCAACCAAAGCTATCATCATAACAGTAATTACGGGCCGCCGCCTGCACTGAACGCCTCACCGGAGGCAGGTTTCCAGTCGTCGCCACCAACGCACAGTAGTCCAGAGCCACCCCAACAAGCTCACACTCGCCTACCACAACGTAGCTTAACATACGACAATCCATACGAGCAGCCATTCGCCCCGCCCCAGCGCATACAAACTGAGCCTCCCCAAGTAGCCCCACACAATTGTTACGAACATGGACTTGGGTGAGTAAATGGGTCACTGTTTCAATCGTCAGTGCTAATATGCGGCATGTAGAATTCTTGGAAAGTGTACACGATGTGGATATAGGGAATGGTAATGTACTATGTTTTCGGGAGAGAAGAAAATGGCACTACTGTCCATACAACATGCTATGTGTCATGCATAATGATCGGTGAGACGACTTAAGGGAATGTTAGCGGCTTCAAGGATCCCGCCTGCTATGTTGAAATTTCCGGAGTGAAGATTTCCCTCAGCATGAACAATTCCTTGATCAAAAGTCGAGCCCTTCGTATTATTACCAACGGAAGCTATTGGGTACGATGAATCCCTATCTGGTTGGCCATATCTTCCTCTCTATGACCTTAGGGGATGAAGGGCGGGCCCAAGAGATATGTTACGAGAGCATGAGTTTGCTGTTCCCAGGCCATAACCCAAAACAGACCGAAAGCTGCAGGCGTCCGTTGTGTGACCATAGCAAAGTATGCTCCCGTCTGATCACGGAATATCGGCAATCGTGCTTGCGACATCAGCCTGAGTTTGCAAAACCATCAAGCGACCGATGCGCCAGCTGTCGTATTTGTGGTGATCCGTTGATTGCTGCCAGTCTAGGATTCATACTTGTCCAGATTCCCCGATAATGGAAGGCGAGACAATGCGCAAGTTCTTCTCGAAACGCAAATCAGCTACAAGCCGTGTAGATCTCCGCGACGGTGAGCGAGACATTTCGGCGGCGCCAGCACCCACTGAGCAAGCATTGGTGTTATCGTCAGCAACAGAGACAAGGTGAGTGACACTGATGTTCACTCGAGCAGGCTCTGACGATACAGTATGCCAACCGAAGCAGCCAAGGCCTACGGGCCACTGGTACTGAGCGACCCCGATAAGGCTGCAGTGGAGTAGGTACTGAAGGCGTCGCTACTGCTGGAAAACCTGCTAATCTCTAGCAGTATCATCCTTATCCATGGTCTTGGTGGAGATCGAACAGGAACCTGGACAGAGCGTGCGGCGGATGACAAACAAAATCCGTGCTTCTGGCCACGTGATCTACTTCCTGTCGACCTTCCCGACGCGCGCATCATCACATGGGGCTATGCCGCAGCAACGATCAAGCCGTTGAATGTCGTATCGATTGCAAACCCAACGCAGCACGCGGAGAAACTCTGCTCAGAGCTAGCAAGCCTTCGAGTTGGTGTCCTTGATCGCCCGATCCTTTTCGTCGCTCATAGCATGGGGGGTATAGTAGCTAAGAAAGCCCTTCTCAATTCGCAAGACTCCAATGTCGACAATATCGCTTCTTTGGTAGATGATACGCGCGACATCATCTTCATGGGTACACCTCATTGTGGCTCAGAGTTGGCTAATGTTGCCTCGTTCCTCACCAAGATCGTCCGCATCTTCCACTCAGTCAACTCTTCGATGGTCGAGGAGCTTCAAAGCCAGAATGCGCAGCTGCAAGACACCGATCGACGCTTCCATCAACTTCTTGCTAAGCATGTAGGAACAAAAAGTGCCATAGAAGTATGCTGCTTCTGCGAGAGCGTCCCTTTGTCCGGATTCGGTATCATTGTTCCAGATTACTCGGCCGCTCCGCCAGGGTATGAGCGTATCGTTGTGGATGCGAATCATGTGGAGATGACGAAATTCTCGAAAAGAGAGGACCAGACATACAAGAATGTACTGGCGGAGCTGCGGCGAATGATCGAGTTGACGAAGGAGCAGCGCAGAGATGAGAGCGACCCTAGCATGCAGAGAGGCGATGTCACCCACGTTGGTAACAACGATCGAGGTGCCTTGGCCAACTACGGCAGTCAGACCATCGGTACGGGTAATGCAGGCTCAACCCATTACGGTAAGTGATTCTTGTGCCATGGGTGGTTGTTGCGCTGATGAATCCAGGAAATATCAACGACTTCCGGGGTTCCTGAGCCGGCCTTCGGTTTCCGTTGGTGGGAAATAAAGGATGTGTTTCGGCGTGTCGTAAGGCGTTGGCGTGTAGTCGTATAGCGCATTCGAAATGGTCACACCAGCTCGATATCCACAAGCTGATCTTTGACATCTTTCCACACCTCTCCCTGCATAGCCCCATGTATATATGCATCGCCCACCACCTCCCATGCCCTTCCTATCTCTTCATCGGCAGTGTGCCGCTTTGACTCCCGTAACACATAAGGAACATTGGCACCCTGCAATAGCCATACTGTGTCTTCGCGTTCACAGCTAGTCGGCACCAGACCCAAGAAGCCATTTTTGGTCCTAGCCAAGCGCCGAAATTGACCATTTCTATTGATTGCACCCCCGAATTTGTGGTCTTGCCAGTCACGCTCAATTTCTGCCTCGCTAGCTGTGGGCCCGAGGCGGGCTATGCGATCGCTGATGGAAGACAGAGAGGAATCTGGGCGATGAAAATCGGCAATGTAAGGACATTTGAAATTGAATGGAGGACGGCGCGGATATGTGCGGCTGGTGTCCATTTGTGTCAGGTTCGCCCCGCAAGTGCAGCTTTGCTGCTCCGTATGTCGGACATCAGCCCGAGATATCGCGAAGCCAGAATTATCGCCTTCGGAGAGCATGTCTATGTCGCGGAGGATTGGAGAAGCTATACTTTCGTAACCCGTTGTCGTCTCTTCATTATTAGGGTAGTAGAGCAAGCGATGGAGACAGCGGACGACCGAAGCGCACGTTAGTCGCTTCACCACGTGTTTGAGACGGTCCATGTCGGGTTGGTGGTCAAGAGGCAAATGACCAATATCGTTGGCGACCAGTGTGGTGGTTAATGCTTCGCATCGTGTTTGTCCTGTAGACCGATAAAATTTCGGAAGGTTTAGTGTAAGCGCGCTCCACCGAGGATCGAATTGCAAGCGCTTTCCGTGCCATGCCCATGATCCGGCAAGCTCCACAATACAGTCAATTTTGAACCCACGAGCTCCGAGCACGCGGTCATCCGTAGGCACAATCGTCAAGGCGTCCAATCTCGACCCCGAAGTGGCATTGTAGCCCACGCTTGCGGAGGCGAGCTCTGATTGATAGGCCTTGTCTTCAAACTCTCCGACCCAAGTTGGAAACCCTGGAAACTTTCGTACAGATAGGTCGGTAACCCAACTCAGGCAGTTGAGGTTCTTCGTCTCATCAATGAGACAACGCAGCGCTTCGACATAGACCTGCTCTGGGCTCTTACTGTAATCGGCAGTTAGCCCAAAAGCCCCGCGAGGTACTATGCCTAACAATGCAAAGACCTTGTCTTTGGGATTTTCGCACCCGGTCATGCGGGCCAAAGTCAGGATTTGCTGAAAAGTAAAAGGCAATGTCTTCTCTTGCGTTGTAGGCGGGTTTAGCAATCGCCACCGATTGTGGAATAGCTCCAGAATGGCCTTTTCATGGTCGTGGTGACGGTTGTTCTTAATGGGGAGAATCAGTGCTTGCCCAACTTTTTCGTGAAATCGATGCTTCTTGATCCATGCAACCAGTAGCGCGACTCTTTGAAGTTCTGAAAAGTCCAAGATGTCCGTACAGCACAACATACGGATGTGTCGAGCAAGCATGACTTCCTGGAGTACCCAGCAGCGAAAGAAATACTTCCTTGCGAGAAAACGAGTCAAGTTTTCAGATTTTTCGGCAGAGATCGAGCTAACTTTTGCTTTGTCGTCTTGTTCCAACGCCTTCTCCATGAAGTCTGTGTATGTTGAGCATTGCTGATCCTCTTGCATATCGTCAAAACATTGCAGTTTGTTGAGGCGCCGCATGAGTGGTATAGCTTGCTCACTATCCTCATCCGCGGGGCCCAGCCACGATATGACCAATGAAGCTTTGCTGTAGATCTGAGCCATCAAGCCAACCTGCGTGTTTAGCTCCTGGATATCGTCTTGATTGATACATAATTTGTCCTAGCGATCAACATCTACAGTTAGTCAGGATACCATATTTGCTTCGCACGGGGGGTTACGAACAATCCAGAGGTATTGCCCCTGGCATTCGACTTCCTGACACTTTACGCTCACCTTGCAGATAGCCCTGAGCGCGCACTCCAAGTTGGCCGTAACATTGACGCGCAGTCCATTGCAGATGATGATCACTTCCTGCACCCATGTTGTGGACTTCCCTTCCTCGAACCAGTACCGATACAGTGGGTCGCCCCAAGTGTAAGACAACGCGTGGAACTTCGGGGTATTGTGCTCAAGATCAGTCAGGTGGAGCGTGCATGTGATAGGTGCGTCGTTGTTCTGTACTGGGTGAAGCTCGATGACGCGGATCGATGTCGCTGTCGGCAAGGGAGTGTACAGGTCTGGATGTCGCGACCGTGGCGCGTCCATGGTGCACATGTGGGGCTGCGAACTAGCTCTAGTTTCGCTGGAGCACAATCGGCCCGACAGCACTATATAGCATCAGTAGTGACCTTGGCACAAAACAGCAGTAGAATACCTTGAAGAGAACTTCTGGATCTCGTTCCATCGTTGTCGTGCCATTTGGAGCAAAGTTGAAATTGTAATTGAACCTTGGAAAGATCCAAAGTGAGGCAACGCATTATCGTGCTGACCAAGACGCTAACCACATTGGATCGGTTGGGCAGCCGTGGAAACGAAGAACTGCACTCTGCGAGGAGCACCGCGACATGGCACGACTAAATGAATATCAACGAAGAAATATATTATATCGTCCAACGTAATGCTACAGACTTTTTGTCAGACTGCGCCAGAAACACCCATCGATGCAATGCGAGTTTTTCCCTCTCATCTGCGCACCTACGCATCATCACCCTTCTCCGCCTTTTTCTCCCTCCACTGCTCCTCAAGTGCCTTAACCTTCTCTACACCCTTCTTATTCCCCACACTGCTCTCCCACTCAGCCCACTTCTTGAACACACTCCGTATCCTCGAGGCCTTTCCGACCTTGGTCATACGCTCGAACAGATCCCGGACGTTCTCTGCGCTGCCATGGCTCTGCTCCAACATGAGGTACATATCCCAGACATCGCCTTTCTTGGAGAAGGTGTCGACAAGGCCCTCAAAGATGGTGCGGCCGCGTTCGGCATCGCCGTTGGGGCTCTTGAACTCGAGAGCGGCGAACTTTTGTGTCAGGTAGCGGTGTTGCGTTGATGCAACGGATTGGGTGGCGCGTTGAAGGAGAGCGCGAGCTCGTGTGGGGGAAGGTGGCTGTACGACGTCCATCAGGAAGGCTGCATATGAGAGCCAGAATTGAGGGTCGGGTGTGAACGACTTGTTCTTCATCATGGATTGGTAGAGGTTGTCCGCTTTCTGTTCTGGTATTAGCAAACTTCGCAAGGATATGGGGATATAGCGGTACTTACGTCGATCTTGCCTGATGAAATGTAGATCTTGATCATGCGCTCATGCACTTCGCGGGCATCGTTATTCTGGCACGCCTCTTTGAAGACTGTGTCCATAGCATCGTCGCTAGCGAAGTCGTTCTCAAGATGGAGAAGAGCGGTCCACACGTCAAGCTTCTCTTTCTCTTCCCTGGGGTTGATGGTCGCCAGTGCGCGACGTGCGACCTGGCGTGCCTTCTCGATCTCGTTGAGTTCGCGTTGGAAAACCATGTATCGAACCCACATTTCTGCGCTGTTGGGCTGTCCCAGGAGCAAGCGCTCGTAGTCGGCAACGGATTGCGGTCCATAGGCATCGAGATCACCAGTGCGGTCCTCTTTGATGGTAGCCTTCTTACTCTTCTTCTTTTTCTTAGGGGCCTCGTCGTCGGAATCAGGTTCTGCGGCACCCTTTTGCTCATCGAAGTCAAGAGTAGCACCTGTCCAGTCGAAGCCAGAAGTGCTAAGTCCCTGTGTTGCCGCTTTTGGCGCATCATCGTCAGACTCGTCGTCTGAGACTCCTGCGTCTGCAAGCTCGATATCATCGTCGCTATCAGCACTCTTGACGCTCCTCATGTCTACGTCATCGAGCTCGATACCGCCATCTGAGTCACTTCCTTCTAAGGCCTCAACATCCGAGGCATCCTCCATGTCTTCATCCTCGTCTTCGTCGTCACCCTTGACTTCAGAGTATTTCAAGCTGAAGCTGATCTTTCGGGTCTTTGGATCGACCTTCAAAACCTTGGCTTTCACGGCGTCATCTTTCTTGTACATTTCCTTGACCTTGTCCTTGTCGACAGTAGTGTCGGCTAACTGAGAGATGTGGCAAAGACCGCTGACGTTGTTCGAGTCGTCAACCACCAGGAAGACACCAAAGTCTTCTACATGCCGGACCTTAGCAGCAACAACCTGACCAGCCTTCAGATCGCTGAACTCGACCGGCTCGGTGTAGGTTCCTTGGACGTGAGAGGCCTTCAAGCTCAGCTGTGGATTGCGTTGGTCTGGCTTGTTCGAGATGACTTTGCCAGTGACGAGTTGGTCGACATGGAAAGCAGACTTCCAATCCTTGATGTACTCGTCTGAGAGGTGGCTGACACGAACGTAGGCTTCGACATGCGGCCCTAGACGGACGTAGATACCATTGTTGGCGACGTGCTTGATGAATCCACGGACAACCTGATGCACTTTGAGCTGATCCCTGTCCTTGATCTCGGGGTCTTTGATCGGTAGCGAAGAGCTCAATACCCTAGAAGGCCGAATAGACAATCCCAGCTTCTTGTTAGGAAGGTCTATGTCGATTACACACACGCGCAAGACGTCGCCGACTTTGAACTCGCTAGGCTTGGCCTTGTCGTAGTCGTCTGCCAACTGCTCTTGGAATATGGGTGCAGCAATGTTGTCGTTGATCTGGACGACGATAGATGTGTCGTGTAGCTTTGTGACACGTGCAGGCAAGATGTGACCTACCTTCAAGTCTTGAAGGGTCAATGACTTGCCAGTCACATTGGTCGCAGCTGTTAGATCCAACTTTCCGGCTGCAACGTCGACCGCCTTGACGCGAACCTTGAGAGCAGAGCCAACGGGAAAATTCTCTGCAACGTCCGAAAGCTTCTCCAGGTCGTCAGTCAGATCAAAGTAATCAATGCGACCACGAACGTTGGCGGAAATGTTCACCCAGACGTAACGCTCGGCAATGTTGTTGATGAAGGCGACATGAGATGATCCGGGGGTGATTTTGTCAAGGCTCAACACGTCGGCTTCAGTCTTGACTTTATCGGTGTTTGCGGTCATCTCGAAAGTGGGCGTTTTGTTGTTTGATCGGGAAGTGATGGGGAGGAAACGGAAGTTGCGGGCATCGTGCCTTCCGAGAACTCTGGCCTGGATCTTGTCGTTCATCTTGAAATGTGCTGTTGGGTGCTTCTTGTCTGGGATGCTATCCCAACCATCGAACAATTCTGAAACCGAAATACGTCCTGGAACATTTGCCGCAAGCTCAACGTTGAGCTGTGTGTCTTTGACCGATCGAATGCGGACTGTTGCTAGGGCGCCGAATTTGATGTCGTCGGTAGATGTGATCTTGGGGTCGACAGGTTCTACTAAGGCCTCCCCTTTCGAAGCTGGAGCATCAACGACGTTGGCCGCTTCTGGATCAGATTCACTCTTCATCGACAGCCAAAAGAATCCTTTCCCAGCGTCCACATGTGTGACACGAGCAGTGACAGACTGATCCTTACGAAGACCAAAGTTTGGCGCTGAAAGCATGTCTTCCGGTAATTGCGACTTGAACAAAACACCACTTATGCCGTTGCCAAGCTCGATGAAGATCTTGTCGGGAAGAATGCCGCGCACAAAGCCATGTACTGTCTCGCCAGCTTGGAGATCTTCAATGCTGATTGCCAGCTTTGAAGCCTGAGCGTCCTTTCGAAGACTAGGCTTGTTCGAGACTGTTGCTGTCCTAGACTTGCCATGCTTTGTCAAGACCACAAGGTCCTCGAGAGTTCCACCTACCCGAATCTTCTTCATGGTCGAAATGTCCTTCTTCTCCGATCCGTCGGTCAGGTGACCTATGCGGAGGGTAGCCTTGACACCATGGCCAATGTCCAGAGTAGCGGTTTCATCGGACTTCTCGATGACAGTTCCCTTGACGATGCCACCAGGGTTCAGTGCGTTGAAAGCAGCCTCTTTGTTGATATCAACGGCAGCGGGATCCTTGCAGGATACCAAGAGCTGGTTCTCCTTTGCGTCTACAGAGACAATACGGACGTTGACGACCTGACCGGCCGAGAAGTGTCGCGTGGCATCCTCGATGTATGCTTCGCTCATCTCCGCAGCTGGGAGCCATGCCTTGACGTCGCCGTAGAAGCGTACTGTGGCACCATTCTTGCGAACGCTGACCAAGATACCAGGGCCAGTAGCACCCTTGGAGAGCATGGAGTAGTTTGTCCATGGCTTAACATCTGAGTTGACGAGAGATTTCTTTAGGGTGAGTTGGATCTGATGTCTGGCGGGTTCCGTGTAAAGCACACGGGCTGTGACAGGGAGACCTTCCCTAAACTTGCGTTCCGGATGTTGTAGACGGACGTCGGCCAGATGCATCTCTGGAACTAAACCGGTGATGCCCTCGGCAAGGTGAACAAGAACGGCGGTAGCTCCCTTCTTGTCAGCAATGAGCTTGTGCACCTTACCCTTGACAACTTCACCAGCCTTGATATCCTCAATGCGAAGGAAGGGCTGATCAAGGATCTTCTGCTCGAGCGAAAGTTGGAAGAGTCCGTCCAAAGCATTGTAGCCTACAATCCGTGCTTTGTGCTTTGAGTCAAGCTTGTATGCGCCGGCCTCTTCGGAGAGAACGTCGACCTTGTCGTCAGAAAGTCTCGAAACGTGCGCAAAACCGACGACGTCTTTGATGCCGAGATCGAAGAAAGCACCGTGGCTTGGCGCTACTTTGATAACTTTCGCGCTGTCAACGATGGTGGATATGGGGAGGAGGTCGATCGGAGGCTTGCGCTCCTTGGGTTTGCCAGACATGCGGGCGGACAGACTAACCACATGGTCTAGCAATGATACACCGACTTTCCTGGGCTCGGAGTCTGGACATGTGAACAGAACGCGGGCCTTGACTTTGGAGCCGATCTTGTGCTTGGTGGAGATATCGGCAGCCTTCTCAGTCGCTCCAGAATGGTATGCGTCGGCAGTCGCGTCTATGAGACCGAGGATCTTGCCGGTCAGCGTGCTGGATGTAGTGTCGGTAACAAGTACATCGACGGCGGTTCCTGGTAGGAAAATATCGACAGTGGGTGCTTCAGTCAGCGTGTTGCCCTTGGTCAAGTTGCCTGCTTTGGTGTGGTCTGCGGAGAGCTTGACAATGCGCCCATCCGAGTTAAGGCCGGTAACCAAGCACATGAAGACGGCGCCTTCTTGTACCTTGGCATGTTGCACCTTAGGACCTAGTTCGCCCTTTGGCAGGAATCCCTTCAGGCTGCTATCGTCGAGGCCGAGGTCCATGACCAAGCCGTGGTCCTCATTGCTGACTACGGAAGCCTGCACCATGCTGTTTACGGGTATCTTGCGCTTGCTGAGGCCCTTGTTGACCAGCTTGGGATCGACGGACAGCTCCAGCCTCTTTCGTGCTCTTGCACTGGCGTCGCTTGTCGCTGTGATGCATGCGCGGACATACTGTCCTACCGAGAACATATCCTCTAGGTGCACATCTTCAAAGTCTTCATCGTCGCTTCCTTCTTGCTTGTCCGCCTCCTCCTCCTTGAGGAGTTTCTCTAGCCTCTCGTTGAGCTTGTCGGACACGGCGGTGAGCGGGACGTAACCAACCAGGTTGTTCGGGAGCGCGAGGACGATGTCTTGGTGAGATATGTCTGTGATTTGGCCGAGAATGATGGTTCCAGGCGACAATTTCTGCGATCGTTAGCATGAAACTCGCACTGCGCAGAGACTGGCGTACCTTGTAGCTCAGACCCTCTGCCCTCACGGTGTCGTCCTTCTCTCCACTGTCGTGCGACTTCTTGCTCTTCTTGAGCAGCGGCTTCTTCTTGGGCTTTGCGGCGGATCTCTCCTCGTCCTCGGATCCCATGTCGCTGAATCCATCGTCGCCGCCGCTGGGTCGCTTTTCGCCAGACTGCTCGAAAAGAACATCCTGGTTCGCCTTGATCGAAATCTGCTTGTGCTCAAGCGGCGTCAAGACGCTGGCACCTCCTCTGGGGAACGACTTCTCCTCATCTTTGAAGACACTGGGCTTGGGTGCAGCGCTCTCAGGCTTCGACTTGGCCGGTGATGGCTGCTCGGCATCAGATTTCCGTCGCTTCGCTGATCGGTCGGTGGATGCGCCCTTTGCCTTTTTCGATGGCGCGGCGCCTTGCTCTGCTTTTCGTTTGATTGCGCCCATGATGCGCAAGTTCTCCGGTTGTGGAGAGGGTGGTGGTACTCAGGTTTGCGCCAAGAGTTCGAGAGTCGCATATGCTCTTCGACTTTTTTGGTGGGTCCATGCGCGCAGATTCTCCGACCCCCGACGGCAGGGAAGCCGCGGCTGGCACGTGAGCTAGAGTGGCAGGGCAACGCGCGCGAAAGAGAGCAACTTCTCGATGCGACAGCTTTCACGAGTTGTAGAAAATGTTAGACCACAAAATGAAATGATACTTGCATCTGCGGTGTTTTGTGCTGCAATTCCGGAACATTTAGCTATGTTGTACGGCAAATGGGAGGATATCTCGAGGGAAGGCCATGTCCATTAACGCCCAGAACGGCATAGTGCAGCACGTCGGTCGCGCCAGCTCTTCGCGACGTGCTTTGGCCGTGCGCCTTCCTCTCCAACCTCGCCGTCATTTATGGGCATTCGTCTTCTATTCCTATCGGCATCTTCAATTGCTCGCGTGTCTTCGCTTGATCGTTTATTGGTGTTGCTTGTGTATGTGTACTGCTAAAAAGGAACATGTCTTCTCCATGCGCCCCTCGAAGTCTGCTGCTCCAAGAGCCCACGCCGGAGCTCTTTTCATCACCACCTCCACCGTCCTCCGCGACTGTTTGCTCTCGCAAACCCAAACGGCCACCGCCTATCACGCCCAAGCGCTTTACACGCTTCTTCACCCCGCGAAACTCCAAAGATGTCTCATCACGCACCACCCTCACGAGGTCGGGTCGCCAACTACAAGACATCACACGATCTGCTCTCAATCGCAGCCGGGAGACGCGGAGCACCCCACGCAAGACAGTCAACTTCGTCGACATCGAGAACCCAATGCGAACCCCCCAGAGCAGCGCGCGGAAGCGGAAGATACCCTACCTGTCGCCCGCTAGCTCACCAGCCCAGTCGTCACCGTCGAAGCGATCGCGTTACGTCACTCCACCAGAAATCGATGTACTTGAAGACGGGCTCGACTTGGATGATGAGGAGCCTGCCATACACCCTGCGCCTATCCGAAGGTTAACAACACTGGGTCGGCCGTCGAGAACACTGCAGCGGTCGTTCGGTGGGATACTGGGCGTAGGAAGAGGGTTTCGACGAGACCATGGCGCCTCATGGCAAGACCAGGCAGCCAATTTCTACAGTGGCGCAGACGACCTACATCAGTTGTCGCAGGGCGCGCCGCCCTTCTGTACGGCCAGTTGCAACAGTATGTCATTCACTCATTACCCTACGTCATCACGATACTGACAACCCCTAGCCAACTCTATGCTCGCTATAGGCGATGAAGACGGATACATCCACCTACAAGACTCCGAAGGTGACTTCTCCAAGCCCCATGTGTCATGGAAAGCCCACTCCAACGCCATCATGGACGTGCAGTTCTCCTCGGACGACCTACACCTCGCCGCCGGTTCGGGAGATCAGACTGCACAGATTGTCGATGTTCGCACCCAGCAAACTCTTGCTGTGCTGGCGAAACACAAGTCGTCAGTAAAGCAAGTCCGCTTCCAGCCCGGCGACGACAAGATGGTAGCGACGTCAAGTCGAGACGGTGCAGTACAGATTTGGGATCTCCGATGCAAGGGCAACCAAGGCTCAATACACTCAGCCTGGGGCTCCGATGCACCGTATGCCAGTGTTGTACGCACGTTGGCCTCAGCGCACGCGGACATCAGTCTCCCGACATCCACATCGTCGGCCACCCGATCACTCTCCAACAGCAAAACCGAAAACATCAGCCGACGGAACGACATTTCAGTGACAGCGCTTTCGTTCATGCCCGCAGGCCGCGAACACCTACTCCTGACCGCGTCAGACGCATCGACATGCGTTAAGCTCTGGGACATCAGAGGCCGATACTCCCTGCGAGGGCCTGCCATCCCCATCGCAACCACCCGCCATCCCGAATCCCACAACCGCCACCGACACTTTGCCATTAACTCTTTGACTCTTAGCGGCGATGCATCACGACTATACGCCCTCAGCAAAGACAACACCGTCTACGCCTACTCCACAAGCCACCTCATCCTCGGCGTAGCACCAGAGCTCTCCACAACCTCCTCCTCAAAACAGAAATACTGCGGTGTAGGCCAAGAAGGCCTAGGACCCATCTACGGTTTCCGACACCAGAACTTCCACGCCGGGTCCTTCTACGTCAAGGCATCCTTACGCAAAGCGTGCGAAGACCGCACCGAGATGCTCGCAGTAGGCAGCACAGACGGCTGCCCCGTGTTGTTCCCCACCGACGAAAACTTCCTCAAACGCGAAACAAGACACGGAGACGACGCAGACGATCTCCCTGATATGACTAGCATTGCCGCGAAATCCGCACGACCCACGCTTTCCCGCACATCGACAAACAGCCGCTGCCCAGACACCATCCCCATATACGAACATGGCACAGCTCTCATACGAGGACACGACGCAGAAGTCACAAGCGTATCATGGGCGCGTAACGGCAGCTTGATCAGCGTGAGCGACGACTTCCGCGTCCGACGTTGGAAAGAAGGGAGTCAAGCTAGAGACCTCCGCATGGGTGGTGAGAGCGAGGGAAGGAGGTGGCAGTGCGGATGGGCCGCTGTAGGAGATGGATACGACGACGACGAGTAGGATCGTCCGCGAGTTTTTGTACGACGTTGTTTATTATACCCCAGCTATTGATTGTGTAGGAATATGAATGAAGACAGGATGATGATTGTGGAATTTGGCTTGCTTTCCGGTGCCTATCGTATGTCTCTTCAAACCATTTGACTATGTACCTTGCTGCTGTGCAATGACAACACTAGGCCTGTAACACAAACACTTGGAGCCAGCCACTCTTGAACCTTTCCCGTCTTGCCTATGAGACTAGACATCGACCCGCCTACCCTTTCCTCAGCCAAGGTCTTCCTTCCACTTTGTCATGCTTCGCATCTCGATCTTCTTCTCCATCATCGACATTCTGCTTCTCGCCAGCCTCATAGAAGCTTCCTGGTAACAGCCTATACGTCCGCTCATCAAATCGGTCCGCCTGTGTACTTTCGAAACTACCAAAAGACCCTGATATCACCCTGCGAGCTCCGCATAGCATGGTGCCAAGGAAGCTTGTTGGCGTAGAGGGCGGGGGAGTGACGGACTGTAGCTGTAAGTTTGATCGATCTGACTGCGGTGATGCGGACGTAGTGTCCGTCGTCTGCACCCCCTCCATCCGGTGTATACGTGCTGGTAACGGCTTGATGGGCCGATTGAAGCTGCCAGGCATACTTGTAATCGTACCTCCAGGCTGTGCAATAGTCTTCGAAAGAGACTTGTACTCAAGGGGTGCAGCAGGGAAATCCGCTTCTTGAGACGGCCGCACCGGGAAGTTCTCCCATTGCGACGCTGTAGGTGTAGATGGAAGTGAGGTGTCGTATCTTGTTGGCAGTGAAGGGTATGAAATCGTACTGTCGGAGTATGTACTCTGCGGTAGGTCTCGTGTTGGCGTAGAAGCAGCAGTAGAGGTATAACTAGAAGAAGACGTCGAGTTCCGCAGGGAATCAGATCGCTGTTCCAACACTTTCCCCTGCCCGTCCGCGCCACCACGCTTCCTCTTCTTACCCCACACCTCTTCGTCTCGCTGTTTCCTCTTGACCTTGTCAGTTACATCGGCGTAGATAGTGCCGTTGAACGATTTCCACACTTCGACGCCTTTGCCGAATACGGTTTCGACTTTTCGATTTGTGTGGTCGGTCATCTTGTTGAGATACTCTTGCGCCTCGTCCTCGTTGTCTTCTTCGTCGGTTTCAGAGCCGTGCGTTGTGTCCATTATGCCGGTGTTGGAGGTGGTTATGAAGGAGGTGGAACTTCCCCCGTTTCGCCCGCGGAAAGTGTCGAAGAGTGACATTTTCCGTCGCTTTTGCGCTGGGGCGGAGGGTGGAGGGTTGGATACATTGTTCATGTTGTTCGATGGTGTGTTTGTGGCGAAATTCAGGAAATAATGGACGGGGTGGAATGCACTCGTGACAAGCGGGCTGTGCTATTGAGTTGATAGAGGCGTTCGTGAGTTCAGAATTGGTCGGTTTAGTGGATGTTCACACGAAGTTGGAGCCTAGATCTGGGTTTTTTGTGAGCTATGATGATTGCTTTCACTTTGGTATCGAGTCAAATTCAGAGACATTGATCAGCTGACACCTCCAGGGCTGTATAGCTTGCCACAATGTCTTATGTGTCCTGCAATGTTCACAGATCGTGCCTATGCGTCCTAATGTCGCCCTTTTGGCGTGTTCATCCAGTGTCTTTGCCCAAATTAAATGCCATTTGATACCTACGACGTTCCGAAGTCGTCTTCGACAAAGACTTGTACTCCAATGGTGTAGCAGGGAAATCGGCTTCTTAAGACGGCCGCACGGGAAAGATCTCCCATTTGTAGAACACGAAGAGAGATATATGTAACTGTTCTGTATAAGAGGGAGGAAGCTTTGTATATAGAGTAGAGCAAAGTCCTAACAATAATAAAATAGATGCTATTTCTAGCTATTTGCTTAAAAGCATCTGTCCACCATCTACAGCTATTTCAGTGCCTGTCACAAAGCGATCCTTCATAATCCAGCCATACGCTTCAGCAATGTCCTCTGGCTGACCAAAAGCACCTAGTAGATTAAGTTGTTTCTTCATGCCTTCCTTTGCCTCTATCGGCATCGGGGCTAACAATCCTTGCAGCATTTCTGTCTCGATTGCGCCAGGTTTGACAATGTTCACCCGAAGCGGCGCAAGATCGACTGCAAGCCCACGCGATAACCCTTCTGCAGATGCTCCCCAGACTGCCGGAATTAGCCATCCAGGCAGAGGCTTTGTAGTTCCGATTCCTCCCGTGAGCGTGAAGGATGAATTTGACGTAAGATGCATGTACGCTCCGGTGCTGATGAGTTTAGCGATGAACAAGGGCGCGATAAGTCGGATTTTGGAACCAAGCATGACTTGGTCAAGGGTGATGTCTGAGAGCTTGGGCATCGAATGGTGGTCTCCTGCCGTGAATGCGATATGATCCAACTTTTTGCTGCCGTTCGATGTAACTGTCTCAAACATCGTTCCTAGATTTGAATCGAGGTTTTCGGAATCTTTCAAGTCGATCGCGTAGCCAATGACGTTTTCTGAAGGAAGAGATGGATATAGGGATCGAAGAAGATGGACCTTGTCTTCGATCTTTGCTTGCTGGGATCCAGAGATGACAACAGTAGCTCCGTTTGACAGTGCCATGCTGGCAATTGCAAACCCAATGCCAGAAGATCCGCCGAATACGAGGACGTGTTTGCCAGAGAGACGATTCATATGGGGCACAGCTCTCTGCGATGAAGGGGCATGATCTTGGACAGACATTTTGGCAGTGTTGATGTCAAATCATGAAATGAATTCGGCCACAATTGCTGATTCGGTGCTTCTTATAATCTCGTAGCTTCTTGGTGTCGGCGTTACCGTGCCGGACGGTCATGTGCCTCGAACGGCTACCGGTACATGGCCGATCCGCCCCGCCAACCACTGACACTACAAACAGCAGGTTACTTGGCGGTTGCAGCGTATTTTCTGTTCAAGAAAGGCCGAGCTGGACGAGTTAATACTCGGGACGGCAAAATGACATTCCCGACGGGCTGACAGGCTTGTGCCCTGCGTAACTTCGAGACGCGTCCCATCAGGTGTCGCAATATTTCGAGAGAGTCTTGGCATTTTCCATTATAACGAAAGCTGCTATGTTAAGTAAAGCTCCTACTTTGATAGGAATAGCATGCACGTGACAGAATGCTAAGAGTCTCTCGAAATATCGCAACACTTGATGGTCCTAATAACGTGTTGAATAAGCGAACGCCGCGATAGCGAACGGCGACCAAGCCGTCAGGAAGCGGTTCTGACGCGCGCACCAAGATGATCGCACCCTTACCTGGACAAATCCTTCGATCGATCCGATGTATGCGAGTGGCACAGTCGATCGCAGCTTACTCGCCATCACTCATCCTGCAGCGCAAGCACCATCCTCTTACCCCAAGTAGGCTTGGCATGCACTGATCGCCGCTAAAAAAGCCTTCGGGACGGAGCCGTCACACGTCAATCCTTTTAGTGGCTGTCAGAACATCCAACGAGGATGCTTTCAATCGCGAACGGCAACTTGCCCTTACAGATCTTCTGCAAGCCATCATTGCGACAATGCATAAGGCTATAGCATCGCCGACTTGTACTCGCTTAAGGTGTCTGCAGATCATGGGACTGTGTCATACCTAGTGAAGTACGGTTCTACAGTATATAAGATGGATGGCGATATATGCTTTCGCTGCGTTCGAGGTACCTCGTTGAGCATCACATCCCGACGAGATGCGCGTATCTGCAACGACAGCCAGTCTCTTGGCCTCTTTGGTCTCAGCCGACCTTGACAGTCCAAGCTTACTACAGCAATTCTACGCTCCTGGGCGTTTACTTGGTAACTCCTTCGGAAACCCTGGCATTAATGCGACGTACGACTATGTCATCGTTGGAGCTGGCTTGGCCGGCGCTCTGACGGCGTCCCGGATTGCAGACGCGTTGCCGAACATGACCGTCGCAGTCATTGAAGCAGGCTCTTTCTATGAGATATCGAACGGTAACTACAGCCAGATGTGAGTAAATGTGAAATGGTGCATCAGGCGTACATGTTGACCGTGGAAACAGACCGTACTATTCGACTAAGTATGTTGGTCCAAATCCCGAAGATTACCAGCCGTTGATCGATTGGGGTATCTTCACCGAGCCTATACCTGGTGCAAACGGAAGACGCTTTCACTATGCGCAGGGGAAGACGCTTGGGGTATGTTCCGATCTTGAACAAGTGAAGTTGTTCAAGAAACTGACTTTGGGCAAATGTGTAGGGTAGTTCGGCACGAAACCAAGAGATTTATCACAGGTAGATATCTTCCATACGTACTTGTACTGCACGGTCTGACTGAGCTCCACAGAGCTACCAAAGGCTGGTATGATTCGTTCGCAAACCTCACTGGAGATCCCGCCTACCTGTGGGAAAACATGTTTCCTTTCATGAAGAAAAGCTTCTCGTTCACACTCCCAGATGCTCGTTTCCGCGCGAAGAACGCAAGCAACGTCAACTACACGCTTTCTGCTTTCGATGCCCCGGGAGGCCCTGTTCATTTAAGTTTGCCCAAGTACGCGCAGCCAATATCTTCATACGGTCCGGAGGGATATGCAGCTGCTGGCATAAGCGCGGCGAACGGCTTCTTAGACGGAAATCTCCTAGGGTATGGCTATTGGCCTTTTACCTTGAGGCCAGAGGACAGTACGAGAAGTAGTACTGAGTCTGCTTTTCTTTCTCCGACAGCTGCAAAGACATCTTTGAAGATCTACCAATCCTGCATGGTACGTAAGCTCCTCTTCGATGAGTCCAAGCGCGCCATAGGTGTGAACGTCACCGTCGCTGGGATGAAGCCGTTCATCGTTCATGCCCGGAAAGAGGTTATCGTCTCTAGTGGTTTCATCCATACTCCCCAACTACTCATGGTTTCTGGAATCGGACCGCGCGGGGTGCTCGAACGACACAATATAAACGTTTTGTCGGAACTCAGCGGCGTAGGTCAGAATCTCCGAGATACGCCCGCTATTGGTGGCGTCGTCCATCGCACGAACGTTCCTGGAAGAAGTGCCTGGGAGCGCCAGTCATCATCTTTTGAAGCCGCTGTGGAGCAATACTTGACGAATGGATCTGGTCCGCTCAGTAGTCCTGCGAGCGATTTCGCCGCCTGGGAGAGGTTCCCCGATCGCTTTACGACGAATATGAGCCAGTCAACTCTCAACTTTTTGCGGAATCTACCAAGCGATTGGCCGAACGTTGAGTATGTTTTGCAAGCTTCAGAACGCATACTGTCCTCGGCCCAGACTGCTAGCGACACGGGTGTCATAGGCACAATCTTGACTTCCACCACGAGCCAGGGAAATGTTACCATCCAGTCCGCTGACAATGCTGTTGCACCCGTCGTCTACGTCGGCTGGCTTGATTCGCTCGAAGACCAGGAACTTGCTGTAGCGGCATACAGACGCGCGCGCACGATTGCAGCCAGCATATCCGCGTTTGGAGAAGAGATAGCGCCGGGGGCGAACATCACGACCGATGCGCAGATCTTACAGTATATCAGGACGAAGGGTATGGGCGCTATTCATCACGGCGCGGCGACGTGTGCGATGGGAAGAGATGCATCGAGCGGGGCGGTCGTAGACTCCAAAGCTAGGGTGTTCGGCGTGAGTGGCCTGAGGGTTGTGGATGCGAGTTCTCTGCCGTTCTCGGCACCAGGGCACACACAAGGTGTCACTTATGCGCATGCGGAGAAGCTTGCGCAGGATATCATTGATGCAGCAAACGATATCTAGACTATTATAACGTGAGAAATAACACCAACGCACTCGCAGCATGCGATCACACACGAGTCTGCGATAACATCAGCGTCACGAAATCTGATGCGTTGTAGATCAGCTTACTATGAATATGACCGTCCAGAATGCCGTGAAATAGAGGAAGTACCATTCCAGACATTGACGAAGGTGGCCACACCATGACTTGGGTTCGCGCTTGCCCGACAGCTTGTCGAGCAGGGGCATTGTGAAGAAGGCGTGTAGCGGGGCAACAATAAACATGAAAGCCTGCAGGTGGAGTTCGTACGGTTCTGCTCCTGCAGTGAAGAAACGTAGGAGCGGCGGAACGCGGAGGGTCTCAGCTTCAAAGCGTGACAGTACGACTGCCAGGTGGTACATCGTAAGTTGAAACCTGGCCACGGCCACTTCGAAAGACGACATTTGAGATGACGGCTGGTGGTATCAAGAAAGTAAGAACGGGAATAGTGCAGAGCGATGGTCAGGAATCGCGGACTAAAGTTTGCATGTTGAAATACGGTCTCGCAGCGTTAGCTACACGCCATTTAGTGGTTAACATCCACTGGGTCTCAGAACCTAGGTAGCGAGCTGCGAGCCACTCATATTCGCGGCCATACCGTTGATGGCCATAGGAAAGAATATTGCACGAGTCGTGTTGCACAAAGAACGCTTGCCTGATTTAGCACGGAGGGGATTACTGGTGAGGCTTTATGCATAACGTGGAAGATATATAGCTCATATGCCTCCATATCGCGTTCACATTGGACCGGTGAGGATCTAGGTGTATGTGACGATAATAGATACTTTTGATGTTGAGACTTACATACTCTTCAAGTAGTAGTCCGAGGTAATGCCGGCGGGTTCCTTGCGCCCTGAACAGTCTGAACTCTTCACATCGTAATCCTTCGTAACCGTGATAGCGCCAATGTCGCCCTCTTGTGCCAAGTGCCCTGTCTGTGATGTCGCTCCGCCCTTCCGACACAGCTCTTCTTCCGACTCAGTAGCTGTGACGCCTTGTTCCAACCGTGTGATGCTCCCTCTGCGAGCCTTCTTCCCCCATCTCGTTCCCCGCGGTCCTTTTGCTTCAGAACCGATAGTCACAATCTGGCCAAGCGATGAGAGCTTGTAGCCTTTTTGGGTTGAGCTGCCTCCGCCAGGCCCCGATCCAGATGAACTTCCGCCCCCAAACTTTGTCCACAGTGCCTTGAGGCTCGGCAGGTTGACCGCAATGATCGCAAATTGTATTTCGAGTGCCGCGACAATGACCATTTTCCCCAGCACCCATGATGTATCCGGTGAGTCGTTGAGCTCGAGGAGGGGCATGAGTCGGAAACATGCGATGATGACGGAACTGCTGCCAAAGACCATGACGCCCAGTACTGCAGCTTTGCGTCGAAGCGACATTTGGAGATTCATGACGGTATATATAGGGAGGATGAGGATGTAAAAGTCTTCCAAGATGTTCTGCAACCTGATCAGTAATTCGTTCTTTGGAAAGGCAGCCCTGGACTTACGAGGATGGAAGGCCCTATGAGAAGGACGAGTTTGCTGATGCAGACAGCATCTGGATGCGTGCCTGGGTGGAGGATCTCATCAAAGGGAACGCATTGGAAGCATGCCAATAGACTGCGGTGAGGGTCAGAACGGACTGCGTAGCGGTATTCAGAACAGCTTTTGGTGCTGCTGGTTGAGGTATTACACACATGTTGATAATCAGGATGACACCGTTCAAAGCGCCGCCAATGTATACCGCTATTCGAAAAGTAGGGCTTGGCGAAAGACGGAGGTAGAAAAGGAGGAAAGCTGATTTGATCACCCAGTGAACTGAGTAGTAAACCACTTCTTCAATGAACAGCCACTTGATACTGGTCAGAACCGTCCGGATCGATTGTCAATCTTGGACCATACCTTGAGGATCTCCAGCTGCTGAACACCGCTGAGTGTATCCATGTGCCTGCGCTAATGGTAAGTGATAGATCGTCAGGGAGTAATCGAAGTGGTCGTACAGTCCGCATCCCCAATATATGAACATGTGCAGGACGACTTGTTGTCCAACACTGAAGAGCTACAAGCTTGTTAGTCATACGAATATGGATGTATCGAGATCTGGGACACCTACGAGAATCAAGACCGCGAAATTGTCATCCCATCCTCTAGTCCGCAGCACAAAGTGCCGGCAATAAAAACGAAGGAATATGGAAACCGTTCCAAAGAAGAAAGAGACGTATGCCACAGCATAAGCCAGTGGCTGGAGAGTCGTCAGTCCCATGGCCACGACAGTATTCTCTCGAATACGTCAACTCTCAACCTGAGCGGAAGCTCGACGATTCAAGAAGTACCTGTAGGAGATGAACGCTCACAAAAAGAAGTCCTCGTTACGCCCCGTTTACGAACGGTTTCAAGGCCTTGCACCAACACCCTGCCCTTCCCACCCCCACGGGCTTGAGATGAATATCCCCGATGCATCAAACCGAATGCGATGCATGCATTGCTACGATCGGTAAGTGATGTCCATATTTGAGCTTTGTTTTTAAAGCATTCCTGTCGGATCCTCCGCATCCTCCAGGGTAAGTTGTGCTTCCAGGCCGCTATGCATGACTAGAATTGTGCTTCATAGCGTTAAGCCGGCGCCTAGGGAGCGGGCAGGTTGGCCGCGTGGGTTCGCGGCTCGACCCTCAACCTAACCTAGCGCGAGGGCTGCCCCGAGCCGGCAAGAAGCACAAGTTAGGAATGCGTTTAGTACAAGTGAACATAAAGAGCTGCTTGAAATCTCCACGAAGATACCAGCATGCTTCCGCAAAGCCATGCGCACAAGATACGAAAGGAAGAGCACGACAGGATCTCCAACCCGGAGACTCTCCCTGGGCAGCTGAAGGAGGCCCGATTGTTGGGAGAGATGTGCGTATATGGGTGGCCTGGCATGAATCGCGAAAGGCGAAGGATCCTTCGTGCTGCGCATTTGCCGCAACAAGACGTGGTTCCCGTTGGTCGAGTCGCCCGGCGTCAACGCGTGGTCCCCAGGGGAGCGGGTGAAGACAACAGCCGTGGCTGCAGGCGAGCCGCTTCCGCGCCCCGCTAGCAGAGCCGTGCTGCCAGGTGGCACGTCCACGACAACAGCCGTTAGCTTCACTGCAACATGAGCCCAAGTGGGACACCCGACACTCCTGAATAGTACTCCAGAGTATGTAGACGCATACAAGCACCCACTGAAAGACCACATTGGCCGCTCCAGTCCAGGTGCTGTTAAGCTGCGTTATCGTTGGGAGAATCGAGCCCCAGGGTCAACACGCAGACAATGCAGTCACTGGCAAAGAGCCGAAAATTTCGAGACGTGGGCTGTACAGGGCATGCTGCAGCTAGCAAGGCTCGCCTGGAGTATCTTGGGCCTATCAGAGGCCGCTCAATGGCGTTGAACCGTTCGGAGGTTAGCTAAATCAACCCCCCTCGAAGGATGCGCGCTACTCCTGCATCTTCATCATGGGGATTTTCGGACCGTGGTGAAGATACCTGCCGTCCTCAAAACTCGCGGAGGTTTACTGGAAGCGATCAAGTGGGCGAATAGCGCGTGTTGGCTGGGACGCCTATATTCGAAGCCATGCGCCTTGGATTCTGTCTCCGAGCAGAAGCCCTGCCCGTTTCCTCGACATCTTGAAACCCACTGGAGAGCTCTGCTAAACTGTCGGAGCTTCCACGATGACGATGGAACTCTTTCGAGATGCCGCTCAGCGCAGCGTGTCGCAAGGTGTCGCAGCTGCTGTTCTGTGTGGCATCGTTTTCCACTTCTCAATACGACCATTCGAGTTTGAGCTGGTCATGTTCCACTTCATGGCAGCTTTCATTTTGAGCTTCTTCGGGATGTTCTACGTCTTCGGATTGGCGAAAGCCTTACTCTTTGCGACCAGTTTCAGCACCGGATTGCTCGCCAGCATTGCCATGTACCGAGTATTCTTCCACCGGTGTCGAAAATTCCCAGGGCCGTTCGCCGCGAAAGTCTCTAAATTCCACGCTGCAAGTCTCGCGGCGAAGGACGTCAAATACTTCAGAGAGCTGGAAAAGATGCACGAGCAGTACGGTGACTTCGTGCGCACAGGTGAGCGAACACCCAACTCAGGCTTTGCACGAGCAGATGTTAATAGTCAGCAAAGGTCCGCGAGAGATCAGTGTTCTACGCAAGTCAGCCGTTCCGATTCTTTACGGGCCCAACTCGGAATGTTTGAAGTCAACATGGTACGGCCAAACCGGGAACGACCCAAAGAAATGTTCCATACATATGACGCGGGATTTCAACGGCCACCGCCTTCGTCGCCGTGCATGGGATCGCGGGTTTTCCATCAAAGGTGTGTATAAGCTCACGAGCTACACGAGTACCTCTAACTTTACAAAGCGCTCAACACCTACGAACCACGCATCAAGGCAAAGGCGGACTTGTTCAAGTCCCAACTGGCAACCAAAGGAGCAACGTCAATGGATGTGTCCACCTGGTCAATGTTCTTCAGCTTCGACGTCATGGGTGAGGTCGGCTTCGGCAAAGACTTTAACAATCTTACGAGCGGTGTCGAGCACCCTGCTATCAAGGGAGTGCATGCCCACATGACCATGCTGGGAATTATGAGCACGGTTCCGTGGCTCTTGAACGTTCTGGGCTCTATTCCTGGAGCGGCGGCGGGCTATTCGGACTTCTTCTCCTTCTGCGCAGGCCAGATTCGCGAAAAGCACAAGGTATGTTTTGTGATCGTACTACCGGTGACAGACAATTAATGAAATTTAGACCTGGGACGGCGAGAAGTATCCGCAAGACGTCGTATCCTGGTTACTCAAGGCTGTCAAAGAGAACGACGTCTCCGCCTCGCCAAGCCCAGAAGCCTTGGAGGACGATTCGAGAGTGATGATCATTGCCGGAAGGTAGGCAATTCTGATGTAGAAGCCCAAAGACACTGCTGACGATATGTAGTGAAACTACAGCCACCACGCTCGCAGGAGCTCTTTACTACCTCGCCAAATGCCCCGACAAGCAGAAAAGGCTCCAGCAATTCCTCGACCAAGCAATGCCGGGCGGATACAGCCAGTGGTCGTACGAAAAGGTCAAGTCGATCTCTTATCTGGATGATTTCCTCAGCGAGACACTGCGACTTCGTCCCGCCCTCTTGACCGGTGGAGCGCGCGAAACACCAGCAAAGGGCATCCAAATTGACGACACGTACATTCCCGGCAACACGAACGTTGTGGTTCCAGTCTCGCTCATCCAAAGAGACCCTCGATGGTGGCAGCAGGCTGAAGATTTCGTCCCAGAGCGCTTTGGTGAAAAGAGGTTAGAGATGGAAACTGATCAGGCTCCATATCTGCCTTTCTCTCTGGGTAAGTCATTTCATACGGTCGTCGTTCTAGACTCGCAGTCAGCAGCTAACATTCTCGTAGGCGCATATAGCTGCCCCGGCAAGAACCTGGCCCAAATGAGCTTACGTATCTCGCTTTCGATGATCGCGCAGAATTTCGACGTCTCCTTCGCGCCTGGAGAGAATGGAGAGGCATTTGAGAAGGAGATAATGGACACATTCACCGTGACGCTTCCGGCTCTTCAGCTACGATTCACTCCGCGCAAGAGTGCTTGAGTATTGGGTGAAGGATGCTGTTGAACATGCATCTTGGATGTGCCTCAAGTTGGGCCTGTGAAGGATGAAAGCTTGCGCATATCCGTATTCCAACTATGGGGGTTGTCAGCAGGAGGCTGAGGGTGTGTGGTAGTACCGAATTTAATGGGAGGGGTTGTGAATCCTCCGATTGTCATATGCAGCCATCCAAACTGGTTTTCTAATCGCTAGTGGTGGTGTTCCATGATGATGGTGCGCACAGACGTCGCCCGTACTAGTAGCTCTTTCGCGCAACCCGTTCTCCAAGCGGCCCCGGGGCTTGGTGTTGTCTAGATCTTAAAAGTATTCTGGTAACGCGACGCGCGAAGCGTTGGGGAGAGGGCGGAACAACAGCCCGCTCCTCAGCACAAGATGAAATTCGGGGGGTGGCTCGGTCTACAGGCATTCAACGTTGTTAGTCCGGTGTTGGTGTTTTGTGCGCGCAGTTCTTCGGAAAGATCTCGTCATGTTCGACCACGACGTTTTGTATTGTAGTGGGATGTTCGCAAAAGCCTATGCTCAAGGAAGCATCGCATCGCTCTGCCAAGTCAGAATTCAGCGTACACCGTCATCAAGCCCCCAATACTTAAAACAAAAACTCGGCTAAAGTTCCAGCTCAAACGTCCATTAGCGCTCAGGCCCAGAGACCAAAGGACGGCACGGATTCTATAGCGCACGCAGGCGGTACTTAAATTCCGCTCCAAACGGCTGTCTCCAGGGATAGGGGCTCGTTGCGCACTGCGCTCAGACACACACCTAAGTAATCGTAGGGAAGCTTGCCAATCTGGCCTCGGCTCTTCGGGACATCTGAAGCCTCCAAATAAAGTATAATTTGTGGCTTCGAGCTTCGACCACCTGAAAAGCATCTCACGCTCGCTGAGTGTTCGTATAATAGAAGCCAATGTTTCGTAGGCACATGCAACCGAGCGAGGGGCCTGGGTTAAAAAGCTTGTCGGGTGATCTTCCGTTCAAAGTAGCTAGGTATCCTTACTCTAGACCTGCTTGAGCTCAGCCTTTCATTGCGCCATGCTCTCCAGACCAGGTCTGGGGGTGTTGTAGTTTGCGACTGCTCCAACTTAACGTAGTGTCCAAGATCGCACAAAAGCCATAGTTTGTGGTTGAGCCCGGCATTCGGATCTCACTAGCATTGCCCAGGACTTGGAAAGAGCGAAAGCGCGTATATAGAAAAGATGATCGCCAGGTTTAATATGGTATCATCAGGACACTGCCTCTTCTTGATCTTCCAGCGCCATTCATCATGCGCACCTCATTGTCACTCGTTACTTTGTTAGTTTCTCTGGTCTCTGCGGTACCAGTTGCAGAGCACGAAAAGAGACAGAATGCTGAATTCGACTATGTCATTATCGGTGTAAGTTGTCGCTCATCTAGCTTGAGCCAGCCTGTAAAGAGATGGTTGCGCTAACACGTAGTAAAGGGTGGTACCGCGGGTCTTACACTTGCGAATCGGTTGTCTGAAGACAGCACCATGAAGGTCGCTGTCATTGAGGCCGGTGCTCTCTATCAGATCGCGAACCCGCTTTTGTCGTCGACTCCAGCTGGAGATGTTCTGTGGTCGGGCTCCAGCCCATTAGATCAGAACCTTCTCGTGGACTGGAACTTCATTACCGCCCCTCAAGCCGGCGCGAATGGTAGGCGAATCAAGTACGCGCGAGGAAAGTGCCTGGGTGGAAGCTCGGCTCGAAACTTCATGATCTACCAGCGAGGCGATCGCGGCTCGTACCAGCGCTGGGCAGACGAAGTCGGAGACGACTCGTACACTTTCGACAACCTGATGCCGTATTTCAAGAAGTCCATCAAGTTTACACCACCCAACACCAAGCTTCGTGCAAGCAATGGCTCGGCCGAATACGTCGCGAGTGCCTTCGGTGCCAGCGGCGGGCCTCTCGATGTCTCCTACGCGAACTACGCTGGACCTTTCTCAAGCTACATGGAAGGAGGCATGAACGGCATTGGAATCCAGACTAGGCCTGACTTCAACTCGGGAGAACTCATGGGAGCTCAGTATTGTAGCTCGACGATCACGCCCGGCAACCAGAAGCGCGCGTCAAGCCAAACAACATTTCTTGAGGCTGCGAAGAGTCGTCCTAACCTCAAGGTGTATACTCTGACTCGCGCTGAGAAGATCATCTTCAATAGCGAGAAGCGTGCCACTGGTGTCCAGTTACCGCTTGGAATCGTCCTTACCGCAAAGCGTGAAGTGATCCTTTCGGCCGGTGCTTTCCAGTCTCCTCAGCTGCTTATGGTCTCTGGAGTTGGGCCTGCTGCACAGCTCAAGAAGTTCAACATTCCCGTCCTTGCTGACCGCCGGGGTGTTGGTCAGAATATGCAAGATCACATTTTCTTCGGCCCAACCTACCGCTACAAAGTCCAGACGCTCACGAAACTCGCCAATGACCTTCTTTATGTCGGCGCTCAATTTGCATTCGATTATGGCCTGCTCAAGAAGGGTCCTCTTACCAACCCCGTCTGCGACTTTCTAGCCTGGGAAAAGGCTCCTCGCAACCTTATCTCTTCAGAAGCTGCCGCAGCGCTGGACCAGTTCCCTGCATCCTGGCCCGAGATCGAATACCTCTCTGCACCCGGCTATATTGGCGATTTCTCCAATCTCTTCGCAAGCCAGCCCAAGGACGGCTACCAATACGCGTCCATTCTCGGCGCTCTTGTTGCTCCCCTCTCCCGTGGCTCAGTGACCATCACAAGCCCTAGCACAGCTCAGCTCCCTTCGATCGACCCGGGCTGGTTGACCGACCCCACTGATCAAGCCCTTGCAGTTGCCGCCTACAAGCGCATGCGTCAAGCATTTGCTACAGACGCCATGAAGGCTGGTCTTGCGGATACAAAAGAATACTTCCCTGGACCTAAGGTTGAGACTGAGGAGCAAATCCTTAACACCGTTCGCGATACCGTAAGTCTACCAAGTTTACCGAACCTGCATGTACTAACGATAGCAGTTGATGACTGTGTGGCACGCTTCTTGCACGTGCAAGATGGGAAAGATTGACGACCCAGATGCAGTCGTGGATAGCAAGGCGAAGGTTATTGGTGTGACCGGTTTGAGGGTTGTCGATGCTAGTTCATTCGCACTATTGCCTCCCGGGCATCCACAGGTATGTCATCTTATTCCGCCTCATTCGTGCATCACTGACTTTCCACCAGAGTACGATATACGCGTTGGCAGAGAAGATTGCCGACGACATCAAGCGCAGCCGGTAGGTCGCGCGCGCAGAAGCCGTACTAGACAACTCCATCGTGTTAATTGAGAGATTCAACCCCAAGTGTAACATATCGTCCACTATCATTACTTCTCACTGTAAAGTCACCTTTTCTGCAAGTTCGGGCAGCGTTGCAGCAACAACGTCCATCTTGCCAAACACATCGTCTAATGCCTCCTTCTCCAACACCGAGCAATACGCTGTCTTGAACCCTGCCCTACCCGCTGCGCTTACATCCCAACCGTGTGCAGCCGCAAACCAAAGATCACTAGCTTTGCTGTCAACACCAATCTTTTCTATCAGCTTCTCGTACGCCTTGAGATCCGGTTTTCCCACACCAACGTTGTCACACGTCACAATATGGTTGTTGTCGATGTCAATGTTGCCTCTTTCGAAGTAGCCCATAACTCTTGGACGGTCGCCACTAGTGAACGCCCAGACTGTCCAGCCAGCCTTCTTCATTATGTCCACACATTCCTTTGCACCTGGTCAGACTTCGCACTTCCTATACTCTTGCATGAAATATTTCACATCTTCCTCGGTCGCGACGCTGCGCGGCTCTGCTACGCCAGCAAAATGCAGGATGCGGAAGAAGATGGATTCGAAGACCTTCGCGAAAGGTACGTAAGAGCCCGAAATCGAGAGGTAGGTGTACTCACGCTCCGCGCTCTCTAACCAAGCGAAACCAAGGAGACGTGCGGAGATGTTGCTGGCCTGAAGTTTGGGGCCCAGGCGTTGGTCGATGACGGCATAGAAATGCTCGTGCGACACAAGCGTGCCGACTATATCGAAAACAATGTGCTTCGCTCCGGGCATGATTCTCAACGCCGCTGGTGAGGATAGTTTGGTCGTGATATCTTGCTGATTCGTTGATTTCACATCGCGATGAGGCTGTTCATGCAAGGCGCGTCAAACATGCCCCGCGTGCCATCAGGGTGTTTGCCCAGGTGGGCTACGGTGCGATTACGTCATCACATAACGTGAAGTGTCCCATACTTGGGAACGCACACATGGCATTCTGCGTGTCACTAGGAAAATAATATCGGCATCTCATCATTTCTCCATGATGACTACATGTAATTGTATGACGCCGGAAAGAGCTCCGCAGAGATGGGTGCATCGTAACGGTTGACTCCGTCCCGTGAAATGGAGCTCTCGTCATAGAATATCGGTGCCTTCATCTTTAGTCAAAGAACCGTCACCATACTAATCACTCAACTTCTTCATGCGCTATCATCAGCTCATCTGAACCATCATTGTTATCGCATCGTTCGCAGCCCAAGCGGCTATCTCAAGTAGCACCAATGCATCCGATTGGTCGGCGCACAATCTTTCCCAATTAGGACCGAAACACCGTGCGATATCAAACGTCCGTTAACGGCGATGCAGATCTGGCATGCGACGCGCAGATGTGTTCATGTGGGGAAGAGGAAGGATAGAGATACTGATACGTCATGCTAAAGGAAGAAACACACAGGGTCAAAGCTATACCCGCAAATGCGTGTCACCAAAAAGAGCCAAAGACGTTGTGTAGCAAAGGCATAAAGATGGATTCTACATAGAGAAAGGGAGGGAATAGATGCGCTATGGAAATCATCGCTAAGAGTCATTACAAAGAATGCTGTCAAACAACAAACCCCAGAGTACGAGTTCAAAGCCTCAAGTACTCATAACACCCAAACACCAAGGCCATGCATCGTGAATAGTGATAGTCAAGACTTTGCTTACCAAGCAAGGTCGCTCTTCTCGTTGTCATTGCCACAAGCAAGACCCTCGCAGAAGTCCTCCATCTCTTTGCTGATGGCCGAGGCACCAGTGGGCTCGAGTTGCTGCTTAGCAGGCCAGATCTTCTGACCGGCCTTCTTCTCCTTCGCGCCGTGCTCCATGACGATCTCGCGACATCGCTTCTGGAAGAAGAGTGGGCCCTTCTCCATGTGTGGGTGCAGCTCACCGTTGACAAAGATGCCAGCCTCGATGTTCTTCTGCGCACGCTCACATAGAACCTTGTCCTCGCCCATGACGCGCTTGTAGGTGTCGCTAATGAGGTTGAAGTCCTCATCGTTCGAGTGCTTGTTGCGCCAGACCTCGTAGTACATGACTGACTCGGTAGGTGACTTGGGCATGAACTTCTGCATGAAGAGGAAGTGTTTTGTGACGGTGAAGGAGGCGTTGGGGAAGCAGTACGTGGAGCAGATCTCTTGGCCGAGGTCCTTGCGGTCTTGAGGGGTCTTGGGGTCGTGCTGGATGTGGTCGGCCGAGCAGTAGACGTCGTAGCTCTCGAGGTCGATCAAACCTGTTGTGAGATCGGGGTGCGTGCTCTTGCAGTGGTAGCACTCGTTGAAGTTGTCGGCGAGAATCTTCCAGTTGAATGGACCGTCGAGGTTCCAGGTGTGGTCAAACTCGTAGTCGTCAAAGTTGAACTGACCGAAGCGCGCCTGTTCGTCGACGTGGTCGAACTGTGACTCCCATGATACCTCGGGCTCCTTCTTCGCATCCATGTTGATCCAGACAAAGCCGTTGCGGTCGATGCGTGTGTGAATGGGGAAGAGACCGTTCTTGGCCTTCTCGAAGTTCTGGAGCTCTTGGTAGCCCGGCGCCTTCGCGAGCTTGCCGTTGAGGCCATACGACCAGCCGTGGTACTTGCAGGAGAAGATCTTGGCATTGCCACCATCCTTCTCGACTACGGGATACGCGCGGTGTCGGCATACGTTATGAAATGCGTTGATCTCACCGGACCGGTCCTTGGAAACGACGATGTCGTAGTTGGCGACGTTGTAGCGAAGGAAGTCGCCCGGGTTGGCGAGTCGCGACTTGTGGGTAAGAATGAGCCATCTTCGGGTGAAGATAGCGCGTCGCTCGAGTTGGTACATCTCTTCAGAGGTATACCAGTTGGCGGGGAGGGCCCGTACGGGCTGGTTCTCTGGTGGAGCCTGGGCGGCGGCTGAGCCGCCAAAGCCAAGGTAGCTCAGGAGTGACCCGACCATTGTGAAGGATGCGTGTTGAAATGTAGTGTTATGCTTGTAGTAGGATAGTGGAGTACTAAAGGTAATTGGAAGCGACCACAATTGTGTGTGGGGCAAGTCTGATAGAGAGGATGGACGTCAGGTTGAGGATGTCGCAGGCGTTATTATACCCTCTTCTCGAGGTTTTTAACTCCTCACTCTTATCAAGTAAGACAAACAACTAAGTCCCCATGGGGTTATGGCTTCCATTCGCGCCCGAGGAGCGATAACCAGTGGGACGTGGGAACGTAATTCGGCTGCAGGTGACCGTCAAGCGCCACACAGCCTGACTATTTTTGACGTCTCTCCGTTACCGCACGTTCTGCCATCGTGATCAATTCAACATTCTAGAATGCTGTGCTAGAGCTCAACGGCGTCATATGACTGGGCAGCGTCGTATTACCCCAGAGTAGTTTCATTGACTGTGCATACAATGCAGGAGAAAATCATGGTGACTGAACGTATAGACCATTCTCGTCATTGCCCCTCATGTTGGCACGGACTTGAATGGATCTGATTTCCAAATGCGGACAACGGACGCCAGCCCAAGGCGCGATCAGACTGCGACCACCAAGTTCTGGCGGGACTATTACGGTCGCATTATCCAAGTGCTATCGCGCTCTTATCGAAAATCTTCACTGAAGATGTTGATCGCAGCTGTTATCGTCGAGATATCGAGATAGCGATGCTATCTTGATGAGCTGTCCGGCTTGGATGTAGTACCGCAGCTGATAACGTCTGCTGGACTACAGCCCATGATACTCTGATCGAGGGTGTAGAGCGAACGTCGGAGCACACGCACCGTTGAGCGCGTTGTCATTGAGTGCGAATGACGCCACGCGAGTCGCGCAACGCATACGACAGCAAAGCGTCACTGGTCTCGGTGGAAGCGCCCTTGTTCGTGGATGGTTACCACAGCAGCTCGCGTGTCACTACCCCTCCTGACGATATGGAGAGTAATCGGGAGGGTTTGGGTGCTTTTGGCAATCGCAGTCGTGAATTTGCCGGCTGGTGCTGACAGCGCAGCAAGGTGTTACGTTGGGCCTGCCCTAACACTGTAGGTGTCTGGGTGATTTGGCGATATAAGCTGTCGCTTGTCTCGCAGAATCGACTCATCGATGAACGCAACCAGAGACAACTTCAAAGTGAGTCCATTGCGAAGATTGCTCAGGGCGCGACTCAGTGATCGAAGGCATGCGATGTGGGTGACACCACACGGGTCGGCATCATGGGCCAGATCGGTCTGCCTTTCTGCACGTGGTCCTGTGCGGTTGCCGATTAAAAGGGGTTTGTGCTCTCGAGAAGCCCCGTAGGATCGAGGCTGGGTCCGGGAGGGTTGTTGTCGCATGGTTTTTGTTGCCACGCTTTCAAGGCCTAGTGTCTTTCACACCGGCTTTGTGGGTCGCGACGGGTTGGCGCAAGGTTTGATGGCGGAAAGTCACTCTCAATGTTGAAGCAACGCTTATCCTTGTTACAATGATATATTGTAGCGAGCAAGATCGGTGAATCTTTGCGGCACGACAGCCGCATTAGGTTCGATTGACGGGAAAAGCATGCTAAGCTCTCCATACTATGCATACTTACCTGAGATCCAGGTCTGATATCAGATGAGACGAATTTTGGGTTGGAGTAAAGATCGTGAAAAAAACGGGATGGTGTTGCGCACACGCGAGGCGGGGTTGTTGCAGGCTATTGTAGTCCCGAGTCGATTTGCCTCCATGCGTCCGCACCATAATCACTAATCCCAAAATGGACATCAGGACCCTACATCCACGACTGGCATCTTCCCCACCAATGTCGTAAGTATCGCATGCGGGGCGGTGGGCTGCTTCCGTGCATCACGCTGCCGTTGGCCACTCCATGGGAATTATTTTGCCAATTGAAGTTTGCGCTGCGCTTAGTTTCGGCTCCTATGATGGCAGAGCGTAGTGAAATGGTCCGTTATCGCGAGTGCAAGCAGCTTTAAGAGGAGTTCGTCCTACAGCCTTGGGCAACCAAC